GTTGAAGCAGAGTGGTTTGGTGTTGGAGCAGAGAGCAGTTTGGAGGAAGCAGTTTGGAGAAGTGCTGTGGCGGGCCAGAAGACCAAGACCCTAGGTAAAGGGAAACCCGGCTTGTGCAGAGCAGAGGGACTCTACAGACACAAGGGGTTGGGAGAAACTTGGCCCAAGCGGAGAGCGGGCAGGAAGCCCCACAAGCTGAAGGGCCGGAGAGGGAAGTAGCCCAGGGGAAGGAATCGCTAGTTCAAGTGGTTCACTGCTATCCCTAGAGCCCCTGGGCTGGGACCTGGAGTAGAGGGTGGGCCCAGGTCCCTCCCTCTCCACTCCCCTTTTCTGGGACACTAATGGGACAGTTGATACCCCAGTTCAGGGGTGAGAAACGGTGCCTTGCACCCCCACAAGAGGAGAAAGTGCGGGACGCAACATAATAGTGCCGGCAATTTGCCACACTGGACATACAACTATGAGACCAAATATTCGTGCATCCTATGTCCCCTTCACAAAGGGTGTCCCTACCCTCTGTTGGCCAGAAGCTGGGACTGGGCAACAGAGGACGGATCACTTGACAATTACCTGTTCTGTTCATTCCCTCTGGAGCATGTGGCACTGGCCACTGTCGGAAGACAGAATACTAGGCTAGATGGACCTTTGGTCTGATCCAGTATGGCCGTTCTTATGGTCTTAGATTCCAGCACTGATAACTGATAACTCAGTTAGGGATCTTTAAATGAAATGATGGATCTGCTTCCAGTCCAGTTTTAAGTACCCAGGACAGCAACTCTATTCTAGCAGCCACACCCTGACTGATACCAAGCAGAGGTCTGATGATAATATTGGCTCTATTCTTTGTAATCAGCCAGGGATTTGGACTTGAAGCTGTCATGCTACCAGGAAACCAACAGCCACTGCTAATTTCCAGAGTGAGGTCAATTCAGGTGTCTAGAGAGGTAGATGTTTCCAACAATACACTCCAGTTATACCAGTAAAGATAGGTCTTTAGGATATCAAAGCAGCTATTAATTAATGGAAACAGAATGACAGTTAGTTTCTCTCCGCACCCCACCTTAACATGCTCTTGGACCTTCCTGCAGAAAGACCCAGGCTATTAACCTTTAGGAATTATCCCAAACTGTCTGCTGCTTAAAAAAAGCCCTACATCTCCCAGTAAAGCTGTGGGATCCATGTTTCACCAAGATGAATGCAATAGGTAGCGGTATATACCTGTCCATCGGCAGATGTTCACCGAGGAGGCTGGAGATCACTGTCTCTAGGTCACGGTGAGCTAAAATGGACACCGCCTCCACCAGGAACTGCCTCAAGCTGCCCTCCTGGATAGTAGGCATGTGGCTATATATTATAACCAGGATATCTGGCACCTGGAAGGAACAAAACCGGAAAGAAATGTCCCTTTTTCTTTCTCTCCATTCATTCTACAGAATCAAAACCTCTATTTAGCCATTTAGCCAGTTGCTGCTTTTTTAGAAATTCTTCACTTCGAGAAACAAATGTTCAAATATGTCTGCATAAATTTAACCCACAAAAATTGCCCACACTTGGCTGTAAAAACTAACACTGACACACACATATACATACCAGGTAATTTAATGTGGTGGTGCCCAGCTATGCATTAAATAAACCAGTTCGCATGCACAAAAGAAGGCTTTGCTTGCCCACATTTTGCAGGTGTGATTTA